AACCAAGCTTGCGTCGCGCCCCCATTCCGTCAATCACGGATTGGCCACGGTATGTGGCGAACTTGTGTACATGGGGGCAGAGTCAGATCCGCTGGGAAATAAGGCACAACACGCTGCCGCCGGATTCTAATTCTCGGTTGTCGACTGATGCACGACCGTAAGCTCCGAGCTATGGTAATCATTACTGATTTACACATGGATAATATATACTATATAGCGCCCGCCCTTGCAGTGCAAGTTAGGAATTATATATATATACATACACCGAGACGATGGCGATGGCATGGATCTGGATAACCCATCTGCGACTGGCAACGCAGGGGGGATGAATGAGATGGATAATGTTTCTTTCGAGAAAAACCACACTGCCCATTCCTTCCGATCTTTGTGTGATACGATAAACTTCTTCGACCTGCATTACTAATTAGTAACGTGAAATTCCCTCATTTGCCGTGCATCGTCATTTATGTTATTGATTGGTTGAATTACGCCGAACTGGATCACGTGCTTCCAATGATTATTCATATAATATAAGAGTTACTAAATACAAAAATACATATAGAGGCCCAGTATTGATAGGGACATTGCTCAAAAATGCGGCAGGGCGTTGGTAGTCCCCACCAACTTTGAATCATTCTCCCAAACTTCCAAGAAATCCCAAAACTCCTCCGACCCGACCAGCCTTGACCACCTCTTGAATCAACCTGTTCCCACTCATCTCCCGCCCAGGCGGCAATATGAACTCCTTTAGCACGCGTAACGCCACATCCCGCTGCATTTCTCCTAGCTCCTCGGACGACGACGAAACAGAGCTACTCGCCGAGTTCGCACGGCGTCGTGTCGCTGACCGCGCGGGCGATCGGTTGGGGAAGATCGGCGGCGTACATTGCGCAAACGCCGAAATGAACGCTTCTCGCGCCGCAGAGTCCGATAATGCGAACAGATATTTCTTGCGAGGCAGTGGATCGGATGACATCTGACGTTGTCGCGCTAGGGTGGCGGCACCGGCATCGGCAGGGACACTGACCTGCATAGAGTACTTGAGGAACATCGGTTCGACTGTGACAGCTCGTTCGACGCGCTCGTATGTTAACGCTGACGCGCCACGAGGTTCAAAGAACACCCATGTACGCCCGAGACCCGACGGTTTCATAGTGAAGCTAGCGACGTTCGAATTGGTGAATGTCAGTACCGGCTGTGAAAACTCAATGTTGGTAGCGTGCAGGTGTATCCGTAACTGGGGGTCTGCATACGGAATCGAAATATAGACAGTAGGGCTCTCCTGATGCAGCGTCAGCCGGGACGGAAATGGCGGGATAAGAACTGCGCCATCCCATCCGTCCTCTTCAAATGGCGCGAAATCTGGAGGCTCAACACTAACTCGGATCTCTCGGACTTCTCCATAGTACTCTGAAAACTCGAGAGGTTCGGAAATGACTCCCTCCCACGTAGCCCTCAATTCTTCGGTTCCCACTCCTCCACCCCGACCACCAATAGCGCCACCTGGCATGCCGATGATACTCTTCAACACGTCCTTTCGCTCTCGCTTGCGATAGTTGTCCACAAACTCGGCAAGTGTCGGACGGGAATCATGATCAAAGCTTTTCCAAAGAGTGACTATGTACCGACCAAGTGTAAGACAAGACTCGCGCGAATAGGTCAACCGATCCTTGTTCGTAGTCCAATAGACCTTGGCAAACGCTTCAAGAAATGTTCGCATGGGCGTCTGTCCACCACTGCCGCCTGGTATGGCGGTAGCATTCGGCATGATAATGTACCCTAACATGAGCCGCAAACATTCATCCACACGGCCGCCCATCCAAAAACCTGCCATCCATGCGCGGAGAATGTCGCCGTGTTCCGGGACGCATAAAAATCGTCCCAACATCCTTCTGCAGAGTCCAGGCGTCGAGTGCAAAAAGTAACTGATGGCTTCTGGCGTGCATGCTAGCACATTCTTGCTAATCATCCACGCCACACTCTTGATTGGATCTCGAGAAAACTTTCTTATTCCACTTTGGACGATCGGAGATATTGTACGTGCTTTTTCGGCGTGAAGTTTTAATACCAGTAACGTGGATCGGAGAGAGTGAATCGATTTAATGACGAAAAGACTATCATCCGGATTACTTGAAAAGGATGGGGAGACGAGCTTCGCAATCACCAAAACGTCCGTAAACAGAAACAGATAGCGGTCTTTGACAGTACTTGTCGTAATGACCTGCCATGCTCGAGACTGATGAAGATATTTGCGATTATGGAGCGTTGCAATGAAAGGCGGAGTAGGCGATTGTGGTGAGGGGGTTACACTTGCCGGCGTGCGCGGTGCACTCTCGGCTCTCCGTCGCATTTCTACTTTCTCTGCCTCATGTGACTTTTCTACATCTCGCCAATGAACGTCACTTTCGCTTCTTTTCCGGGTTTCGACCTTGAGTGTATCCTCACTCGGATTTTCAGCGACGTTTATGTACTGATCAAAGTAGTCTCTGCCGTCAAAGGGATGGCTCTTGATGGGGCTCAACGTTTCGATGGCCATTTGAACTTTCGGTTCCACTTTGGTCCGGATACTTAAATTTCGTCTGATGCCCACATGAGTCAGATCAGCCCCACCGTTAGAAGTCTCCATCGGTAATTTCGGGTCGACGTGTATCGGAACGCTCGTACCAAAGTCCACGGCGGTTTTCAGTTGAGTTTTGCCACCCCTCATCAGGTAATTCGGTAAGTGATCTAGACTAGTCTCATCTCGGTAGACGAGGTCGCCATTGCCATTGAAATCATCCTCCTGCTCCTGCTCTTCTTCAAAGGACAGGTCAAGTTCGTCGCCAGAGTATGGTCCATCTGCACTAGTGCTTCGGCCAGCCTTGGACTTTGGTTGACTTCGACTTCTCATCCTACGACCTAGAGTTGTCTTGCTTCGCCTGGGAACATCCAAATCGTCAAGAGTGGTTGGGTAGGCCGTCGCATCATTCAACTCTGCAGAACCAGTATGGGCATATGCTAAAGCAGCCGGCGCGGTGGTCGGTGTTAACGCGGCATCAGCGCGACTTGTGGGTCGTCGTCGTAGTTCCTCTACTGCTTCAACAGCAAGCGCTTGACGTCGCCCCAGAAACCCGATCGGCAGTTGCCGGCGCGTGCTCCTGTCAACGCTATCGTCCATCGGAGACTGTTGCGCCTGCAATTTTCTCTTTTCTTCCACCTCGCGAAGCTTGCGTTCAAACGTGGTTTCGTTCAACGCCTCCGCCTCCTTCTGAAGGCGCATTTCTTCCTCCTTTCGTTGCAGCATCACGCTTATTCGCTCCAACGTCAAGCCCGGTATTGGCGGTGGACTCCCAAAGTTCAAGTGATCTAGAGGCGGATGCACAATTTCCGGTGGCCGAAACGATTGCTCATCAGAGAATGTGAAGGGTAGTTCAGCGGCAGGAGCGGCATCAGGGTCCTCTTGGTTATGAGATCGCTCGGTGCCACGGCGGCGCAGAAAACCAACTGCTACAGATCTGTCGTTGGGCGGCTCTGGCAAAGCCTTATTTACAATTTCGTCAAATCCTGAGTTGCTGTCCGTCGGAGCACCTTCCTCACCAGAATCGCTGACTTGTTGCTTACTGAACGGATTTGCTCGGAGCTCCTTCTCACGCTCCAACCCCCGACGACGCAGGAACCCCATAGCAGCCTCGCGGTCAACAGAAGCTGGAGTGTTATACGGCGTCGGCGGAAGATCTTTCTCAATTACCGATGCAAATGATGTAGACAAATCTTGGTAGGGATCTTTTTCGTGTTCAACGGCAGAGTTGAATGCAGTGGCTGATCGCAAGCCCTCCATCAATTCTCGTTCAAATCGTGCATTCTGTGCCGCCGCCCGAGGCTCCGAAATGGATTGGGTCACACTAAGTGGGAACTCCATGGTATTGTCTTGATATAGTTCACCTTCTCGCTCGGCTCTCTCAATCCCTCGTCTCCTGAGGAATCCTACGGCAGCGCTCCTTTCGGTCGTCCGGACCTTTGTCCAGTCGCTCCCAGTTTCGTTCAGATTATCTATATCATCGTCCGGGGAATGGTCTATGACGGTTTTGGTGGAATTCGAGCGGGTCACTTCCTGCTGTAGCCGGCGATTCTCACGCTCGGTTCCCTTGCGTCGGAGAAATCCTATTGCGGCCGCTCGGTCTGACTGGGGAGAGCTGACAACTGTAGGTGAGGATGCCATCGTTGCTAGTTGGTATGCGTATTCCTCAGGCCTGCTTCTACCAAGTCAAGAACAACATTAGCACACATCCTTGCATTGAAACTTCCATGTCGATAGAATCGGCAGCACTATTCTGCCTCAGTGACCATATGGCTTGCAACACCATTTCGCCAGTGCAAAGTCCCTCATAGCTCCCAGACTCGTTCCTCCTACCGTCCCATCGGGGCCGGTCAAGTATCTTGTACACACGCGAACCCACCTACTAGAGTTTTGGAACGTCGCTCACCGGGAAGCTCTCGAAAAGCGAGTGTCCGGGTATAGCACAGGCGCATACTATTGCTCTGTGAGAATGACTCAAATTTTCGACAGCCGGATGTGACGAGGCGAATAAGTATAAGTTATAAGGCGTATGATTAGGTCTCAGTATAAGGTTATCTCCGCAAGTTGTGTCAGCACCAGCTAGCCAGCCAGCGACGCTTGAAGTGCCTCTTCTTCCTAGAGCGATCCTCAACCCGCCACAGGCGCCAAAACTTGAAAGGGCCAAAAATATCGGTATCTGACCGAATGAAAATGGAAGATGCTGATGCCGCCTGTTTTTCCGTTGACCGTTGGGGCAACAAATCTGTTACTGTCCAACAGAAAAAACCTTTGTGTGTGTAAGAGAGTAAGTGGGATGTATGAGCCTGTGGTCAGGCAATTCATCGCCACTCCAAAGGCAAAGGAAAGACTTGGGGAACTTTGTTACATAGTTCGCGCCATCTCCGTGGACTGTGCCGCATGGCATTCGTAATATTTGTGTTGGTCTATAGAAGGAAACAAGGAAGCCCGGCTAGCTCAATCGGCAGAGCGTGAGGCTCTTAACCTCAAGGTTGTGGGTTCGACCCCCACGTCGGGCTCATGTATTTTTTGCACAGAGTTTTGCTCTTACAATTGATTCCAAAAGGAACGAGTTTTTGATTTGCTCCCTTTCCTTCTGGACTGGAACCAAGCCACATGCACAATTCGATCAAGATCAGTTCCACGCTGTTTCACTTATTAATAGATAACGAAATTGGTCGGTTCATAAACCGACAAAAGAACAGGTCCCGGGGAGAATCGAACTCCCGTTATCAGATTCAGAGTCTGATGTGATAACCCCTACACTACGGAACCTCTGGATGACATCTTACAGCGCAAACGGGTACAAATGTTATATCAAAACTGCGAGCTGTTGAGGCGATCATGGTATTTCACGATACATGAGAAACTTGCTTTCTAACAACGCTACAGCCAGCTGGATATACCTCTTGAGACTAATGTCAGTGGTTCTACTCTACTGCTCGAAGAAGGGAAGGCTGCTAACGCCTGCTCGTTTTATGGTTCGGTGTTGGAGTATCGTGATTGTGATTGTCGGTGTCCGTCTTGGCAATCGGCGGCGCGTCTCTAATCACGTCCCATTCCTTCAAGCAGGTTCGTCGTATCTGCTGTGCCTGCCTGTGTTGGCGCCAGCCCTTGTTGCAAGAGAAGCTTACGCGTTCGGCTGGCTTCAACGGGCGTCCCATCTGACGTTCTCTGGGTTGTAGGAACTGGTACTGCTCACTATATATACAGTCAGCCCCTCTTTCAGTATCTAAGCTGAGTGATGATGGCCCATCACGGGACCCAGAGTTAGCCGCACGACATGACAGAGTCGGTGTGCATGTGCGCCAGTGCCGTTTGCCCCCGTCCTCCTCCATCCACCCTGCGATCCCGCCCTCGATCGAGATCGAGATCCACGCGAGCTCAGATCCATATCAGATGAAATTGAAAGGGGGCAAATGGCGAACGGCACGGGCAAGAATTTGAAATTGATCTGACTGGATCGAATGGAATGTGTGTTTCAGAATTGTGCGATGGCAAATTCCTGCAGAATTAGAACATGTGGAAGGAAGGTTGGGCAGGAAATGTGTTCTATAATTGATTTTTGGAGGTCCACGCGTATTTATTGATAACTGGATGGCATATAAAAATGGGGTGTGTTCCCAGTGCAAAAAAGGATGGGAGCGTTTGTCTTCCGGTATGAATGACTTTTGTTGTTGAATGGAACCTACAGATGCTGCTGCTCAATGCACTTCGGAACAATCAGACCGGGAATATAATGAGGATGTGGTATCAAACTCTTTCACTGTTGACCGCGAGAATTGCCCATAAGGTGGATATTGTAGGAGTATAGTTTGCAGGTAGTTTATGACAGCGACGCTAGGTTAGCTTCACTTAAATATGCGACGGTGTGCCAACGCTTCGTTCCTGCTTTGTCTGACCACGGTGGTGCTCCTGGGGTCACCCTCGTTGCTTGCTTTACCGACGAATCGGTTGACGGCCAACGCGACCGACTCGCTGCCGCCAACTCCATCAAAAGATTACTGCATGCAATCAGGCTCTCATACGGAATCACCTGATGGGGAAGCAACAGTCAGGTAATTTGCTTGGATTCGGGTTCTTTGCCCATTTCTTGCGAAATTCATTTTCACCTCTAGCTGCTCATCGAGAATGTCAACGCAAACGGACGTGAATGAACCCGAGGACATATGTTGCTATTGTTGCCTCCACCGATGGGTGCCGCAGGAGTGTGATATAATTCGATGCGCTTGGTGCCCTCCCGAGTGCATACCAGGTGATACACCCCGTCTGATTTAAGGTTGTCTACAATTGAGGGTCCTCTTCAAGCGACCCTAGCTGTAACAAATTGATATACGATTGACAACATTGCATCTGTCCCTTGTGGTTCTATTGATGTTTGATTAAAATCCCTTCCAAGCATTCGAAGTAACTCTTGTGATGATAGGTTTCTATTTACGCGCGTGAGAAAGGCTGTCGACCGGAGTTTACGTAACCCACATCACCGCGCTTTGGCAGTTTCCTACTCCACGGTTAGTTCTACCAGTTTGGGTGTGATGCTGGTTCAAAAAATACGAGTATGCCAGAGATATCAGAGCTATCAGGACCCTTAGTGGCACTTCCACTGCCTTCCGTTCAGCGAGAAGTGAGACGACCATGTTACTTCATCGTAGGAAAACCCGGATGCGGCACGCGCGAGTTAGCCCAAAAGTTAGCACAGGAGCTTAACGCCCTATGCTTATCCCCCGATGTACTGGTAGCCCAAGCTGTAGAAGATGCATCCAACAAATGGCATGAGTCGGTCTGTTGCAGATCTGCCGCGAGTTCTTCGGGATTGGGCTAATTAATTGGCCCAACTAGATAGTCAGTTCTCTGACCCAGGGTGACGCCATAGAACCCTCAGTCGTCCGTGACATTATTGAAGATGCAGTTTCATCTGACGCGGCTGCATTTCAAGGCTACGTCGTGGACGGTCTCTCAGCCTCTTCAGACGACTTGAGGTTCATGATCCGCTTACTGGAGAATCATCCAGCGCACCATAAACCCATTCTCTTAAATGTTACGATACCTGACGAAGACCTCATGAGAAACTGTGCTGCTCAATGGATAGATAGTGAAACAGGAATAGTTTATCCAGGAGCACAGGTGGTGCTGTCTAGGAAGCGCTGGGCGGAGAAGAAAGATGGTAGTGACGAGGAAGACGAGGACGAAGAGAATGGTGACGAAAAATCTGAAGCAGAGGATCACGAAAGTGACGAAGAGGATGAGGAAGGGGATGAGAGTGCCAGTGACGAAGACGATGATGAGCGGCAGGAAAGAAAGAAACGGAAACGAGGAGCGGATCTCCCCACTACGGAACTGCTGATCAAGAAGGCTGAGTGGAAAACAATCCCCATGGACGTTTTAGAACGGTAGATACAATGTTTAGGTTCAAGCACTACAGTGTTATTGACGAGATGCTGAATTCTTAGCCTAATCAAGCGTCCTGAGGACTCGCCTGAAAACACCGCCAACCGATTGTCATCCATGCCGCCAGAAGAAGTCAACAAGGTCTTCGATAAAGTCTCTCCTTATCAGATAGTGAGCTTAGATGCCTCTGGCCCGTCGGATGAGCTTCTTCCAGCAGCGCTCGAGAAATTGAGCGAGATAGGTTATGGGGTGTATACGAAGGCGTCTCTTCCAAAAGTGTTAAAAGGTCCTGATGGCGGCTTTCGAGGTATTATTGCACACTAGATTTGCAACGAGAGTATTCGGGTTGTCGCTCAATTCTTGCGGACAGGAGCAAGCGACAATGATATTGTCCGCTACTTCGCTACATCGAATCTGGATTCCTACGAGCCCGCACGGACACTCAGTGTGTGGGGCAAACATTGTCCTATCACTTTCCACCAGAATGGCAGAGTTCACGAATGTGATACTTTGGAAAACGTGGTTGTTTTCAAAGGAAAGATTTATGTTTTTGCCAAGGAAGAGTATATTCCCTTGTTCCTTGCGAACCCGGAAAAGTACATAGCAACTCCGCCATCAATGACGAATTTGAAGATATGCCTACTCGGTGGTCCGAATACCGGCAAGACAACGCAGTCTGACTTGATTGCAAATGCCTACCGGCTAGCACATGTGAATCTAGATGCCGAGCTCGAGCGTCTGTTGGTGGAGGGCGACGTGCAAGGAGACTGGCGAAGCATTAAGGACAGGATTCTTATGGCGTGCCGCAGTGGTGGGACGGTGCCAGTGGACGTCGAGATTGAATTAGTGCAGCTTGTCATTGAGCGCGAAGCCTCCAACGGCAAGGTAATACCATGACATTTCCATTGCGCGGTTCAAGCACTTGCATTGAACGACCACTTCTCACTTCTGTTAGTCTAACGGATGGGTATTGGATGGATACCCTAGAACAACTGAGCAGGCCAAGAGTCTTGCTGCAGCTGGCTTGATACCAGACCATGTTGTCACTTTGCGAAGCGGTACTCAGCGTTGTGTTTGGCGCATCATGATATACTTGTCCCTAAGCCATACTCTACAGATATCAACTCTGAATCTATTCGTACACGAGGACGAATTACACCGGAAGCGGGCAGTGGCTACACTCCCGCGATCTCGGTCTTGGAAGGCCGATACTTTAGTGACCTCTACGATGGCTTTCAGTCGAATCATAAACAAATCCTCAGTGCGTGGACGGAGGTTGCCCCTAAACCTGAACAGAGCGAGGAGGCCGTGGATGGCGAAAGCAGTGAACAGGAGCACCAAGATGTGGATGACAGCATACGAATGAAGACAGCAGACATTGATGCTGAAAAAACGGTTCAAAGTGTGCTGAGCAGTATCATGGCGGTTGTCGACCCGTTCTTGAGTAAATCTGGTGAGTAACTTGCTTGGTCTGGACAAACAGTGCACCCTTGTTCAACCGATAAACTGACCTTAATCAAAACAGAAATCGTGCCACCAAAATCACTGGGGGATATGCCACCCAACCCGCCTTTGGGTCTGACACGCAACTACTGCCCTGTCATTCTGGGTAACCGTCAGGTTCTCGTGCCCGGCGCACCGAACATGGTGGTTCAGTATCAGTCGCAATATTATTATTTATCATCTGTGGAAGCCCAGGCGACGTTCGTCTCTGAACCGCAAACGTTTGTGCGTGACGTTAGAATACCGCCACCAAGAATTCTTATCGTTGGAATTCAGGGGTCCGGTCGGCGGAGTTTCGTGGAGAAGCTTGGACAGCATGCGAAAGAGAGTAAAAGAGAGATTCAGGTGGTCCACTTTGAACAGCTCCTTCGAGATTACATCGATCATGCACCGGTGGAGCTTCGGGAAGAACTGGAAGCTGCATTAAAAGAGGACACCCCGAGTCCGGAAATGGGAGTAGAAGTTCTGAGAAACTTATTTGAATCCGAGGTGGGTATTTTTTCCGAGTTTCCCACGAGGAGTTCACTAAACGAAACAATCGCAGCCTTACAAGACCACTGGATTTATTCTCTCTATGACACCTGGTACCACATCCAAAGCAGAAGCGGAGGCGTTTATTCAGTCGGGG